GTAGGAGTAGTCCCAAAATTTTTGACATGCTTTCCCAAGCCATCTGTTGGATAATTCAAAATAACTACAATGTAAAAAATATCCTTCATTTACTGGATGATTTCATTATATTTGACCCCCCAGGTGAAGGTGGACTGAAGAGTATGGCAGTTTTGACTATGGTGTTCAAAAAGCTCAGAATCCCAATTTCAAAAAAGAAAACAGTGGGTCCAGACACAGTGATTGAATACCTGGTTATTATACTTGATTCTAAAATAATGGAGATCTAGAGTCGTATCCCCCTGGAGAAAGTCGACAGAATTTTAACTCTCATTAATAACCTTAGATTACAGAAATCATGTACAAAACGTGAGCTGCTAAGTGTCTTAGGTCATTTTAACTTTGCAGCACGTGTAATCCCTGCTGGCAGATCATTCACTTCTTACCTACTTACATTAGCTCACTCTGTGTCTGAACTCCATTATCATGTGTATTTGACAAGAGAATGCAGAAAAGACTTGGCCATGTGGGAGAAATTTTTACAAGGATGGAACAGAAAGTCATTTTTCCTGGAGGAATACGTAACAGACACAACTGATAATTCATTATATACTGATGCTTCACCAAACCATGGCTTTGGTGGGTACTATGCCGGTCGATGGTTTCAAGGAAAATGGCCACAAGAAATTCACAACCTGGGAAACGATCCACTTTCTATGGCACTTTTAGAGTTGTACCCCATAGTAGTAGCTGTGGTTCTATGGGGACATGAATGGTGAGGAAAACGGATAAAATTTTTGTATGACAATTTAGCTACTGTCCAGATAATTAGAGAACATCGTTCTAAATCTGCTATTATAATGAAGCTTATGAGAAAATTAACTTGGAAGTCAGCATGTGAAAACTTTCTTATTCTATATGTGCATGATCATGTCTCTGGTAAAGAAAATGTGATAGCTGACTCTCTTTCTCGTTTCCCGTTGGCCCTATTCAGAGAAGCAGTACCAACAGCATCAAAAGACCCAGTGAACATTCCATCACTTCTAGAACTCGTTTTGCACTAGAGGATCAAGCAAATAATTTGTGCGATTCTTCCATTAGTGAAAACACAAGAAATGCCTACATAGCAGGTTTTAGGACTTTCTGTAATTTTCTACCTTCCGTCGGGATTCGAGCAGATGACTTTAGACCATCACCAATTACAGAACAAACTCTCATCTTTTTTGTGACACACTGCTTTAAGGCTTTAAGACTGTCTATCAATACCATCAAGTTATACCTAGCAGCTGTGAGATTCTTCTATGTGAAAGCTGGCGTCTATTGCCCATGGTCCACTATGAACGAAACATGCCCTAGACTACATACCATCTTAAGAGGAATAAAGGAACAAAGCAATACTAGAGAGAAAAGAAAACCCATAACATACAATATACTATGTCAGCTACACAACATCCTGAAACAAAGGATGTTCGACATATTCATGGACACTATGCTTATGTCCGCCTGCTCATTAGCTTTTTTCGACTTCCAACGATGTGGGGAATTCACTATTCAGAATGGTAACCAGGACATGTTATCTTTAACAGACATTACGACGGAATCTCATGAAAACAAAATGAATGCTTTTACCTTGGTGCTAAGGAGCTCAAAAACAGATCCTTTTCATCAAGGAATAAGTATCAGGATCTTCAAATCTGGTAATGTCGTTTGCCCTGTCAACTCAGTGGAGGAATATCTCAAGATTCACAAAACCTGGATTAATGGCAGAGTATCTCCTGTGCTTTTTCATTGAAGAATAAGGAACTCCATTAACTAGGAACTCCTTCATCAGTAAAATTAAACAAATACTTAACTTGATAGTATACAAGGATGAAAAGAACAATGGGCATGCCTTCAGAATTGGGGCAGCAACATCTGCAGCACCTAGTAACATGGAGGATCACATGATTAAAACATTGGGATGATGGAGGTCTGACTGCTACAACCGATACATTCATACCGAGGATGACACATTGTTCCGCGCTCAACAGGCAATGTGCAACAAGTGATTCATAGTGAAAAATGATTATACCTAGTGAAACCTTAGTTGGCCATGGAAGGAAAAATGTTTCTGTGATTCTAGGATGCAATTGTGTTTCATAGCATTAAATATAGCAGTGAAATCCAAGTCAGTTGTGAAATAAATGTCTCTGTGATTCCTAACGATGTGTTACTTCAGTTGCAGTGATTATCCACTATGTAACTTTACATTCTGTCCAATTCCTAATTATGTAATTTACTAAATAATATGGCACTGTATGTAAATAGAACTAGCCATATTTCTTATTGTTAAGACCTATCTGACCATGTATTAGTGTATGTCTAGTAGAAATGTCTGTTTCTACAAGGCCATTGGCCATGCAAACACACAAGGCCATCAGCCATCCATACAAGGCCATCAGCCATCCATACTAGGCCTTCGGCCAACCACATGAGGCCATCGGCCACTCATAAATCTAACATGTTATCTTTTGCAAATGTTCACTATGTATGCATTATTTGTACATATATGTTTGACACTGATGATGTGTTTAGCTGAGTAGTTCTCAAAAGGCAAATAAAGAATTTAAACTGAATCAGATTTTAGTTTTATATTAAATTATTTTAATGTAATTAAATATAGTTTATACATTAGATATCAAATTTCCAAACACACAGCGTACCACAGTAACATGATACTAACAGCAAATCAAATTACTTCTCAAATTTGTCTTTGTCTCCCTTACACGGTTCCTGCAAACCTCCTCCTCCCCACCACCACCTTAATTTGATTGCAGAGAACTCCTTTTGTTAATATTGTGTGTTTATGTAAATGTTCATTTAACAGCTGAATATTTTTCATATATGGGCATTTCACACCTGAAAATTTTTATATATCATGTGTTATTCAACCCCAAAGAAATGGCATTTTTCAGCATACATAGTACATGTCTATTTCTAGACACACAAGGCCATCGGCCATGCAAACACACAAGGCCATCGGCCATCCATACAAGGCCATCGGCCATCCACACAAGGCCATCGTCCAACCACATACGGCCATCGGCCACCAACATGAAGCCATCGGCCAATCACATGAGGCCATCGGCCACTCATAAATCTAACGTTATCTTTTGCAAATGTTCACAGACTATGTATGCATTATTTGTACATATCTGTTTGACATTGATGATGTGTTTAGCTGAGTAGTTCTCAAAAGGCAAACAAAGAATGTAAACTGAATCAGATTTTAGTTTTATATAAATGACAAGTATATCAAGCATGCCATTTATGGTTGTGTAGATAAATTATTGTAGAAGATGTAAACATCACTGCATTTGCACCTCTGCAAGTGTAAATGACTGCGATTCTGGGGGAGGGAGTACTCTGTGTTATTCTGAGTATAAAAATACCTTGTGCTATTATTGTCATATGGGTTAAAAATTTATTACCAAAACAAGTGCCTGTTACATTCAATAAATTCTGAAACAATTACATTCTGTCATTCAACTAATTTCTGGTTTTACAACAATTACAGCATATCACTATCTCTGTAAATTTTAGGAAGATATACATTGTACTAATAAATTTGGGAAATTATATAATATAATAAATATGGACTCAATGCAAAGTCAATATGGATTTATAATGACCAAAGATGACAGATATTGACCTCGATACACGCAGAATATCAACAGGGATTTATCTAGCTATTTTGTTTTACTGCCGTTTTGTATGTAAAGGGGAAAAATGAGAGCCGCAGGCTCGATCTGAGCGCCGGAGGCGCGAATATTCTAGGGGGGTCCGGGGGCATGCCCCCCCGGAAAATTTTTAAATAAATGGAGCAAAATCCTGCATTCTTAGAGCTTCTGAGGGTCATTTGTAGACCTTTACAAAGGCCACAAAAACTTCACTTTTGAGACAAAATATTAAAAAACAAAAAAAAAAAATTTAAAGCAGATCGGTTCTTTATTTAATTTTTTCTCTCAATATCTATCACAAATCAATTCTGTTTTTCATGTTTCACTACTAACATTATTTTTGTTGTTACTCCATTCTTCCGATTCAAAGTGATTTAAGCTCCATCTTACTGATCTACACTTTTCTTAACTCTGCAATCGCACACGTATATTTTTGACATCATGGACATGGCACATGTTTACCGATCAATATCAACTAGAAGCTTGAATAATCTACTCTCTCTTCTAAAAGCGTTTGAATGACTAGGATTGTGAATTAGGATATGCTGTTAAACTTCAATCGGACAAAAACGGAAAATTTCAGTACGATGTTTTAAATATTCTCCGTTTAATTGGAGACTTTTCTATCTGAAAAAGGGGAATTTTTCACCTTTCTCAAGAGGGGAAAGGTACCGTTTACCGGTAGTAAAAACAGCCTTGATAAATCCCTGATCAACCTCAGGCTAGCGCCCTCGGTGGATATACTCCATGTATCTTCGGTCAATATCTGTCATCCTGGGTCATTATAAATGCATACTGACCTACAATGAGTCCATATTTGTATATTAATGCACAATGAATATTTTCACTATTTTCTAAAATTTTGAAAAATAATTTGACATTTTTAATCACATCAATATGTTGCAATTCTCATGATTAAGCCACTTTTAAAATTCTCATTTATATGCATACATCACATAAATCAAATTTCTCAATTTGGATACTCTATAATAATTGAAATTCAACTCATTGTCTTCCAAAATTTGCATGCACATGATATTTTCTTGATTTAGCCACTCATGAAATTCAACTGCTTAACTTTAATGATCTTTAATTGATATGAAATATCAATATTTCAATTTTCGCGAATTAGATTATCTTGAAATTCAACTCTTCTTGACATTTAACTGAAATGGGCATTTAATATGTTTTTTCATTGAGTGGCATACGCTCTCCCTACTTCATGAAGGTGAGTTCTAAAAATTAATAAAAATTGCAATAATAGATTTCGTAAGTAAAAATAGGATTCTGAACAGCCCTTACCACTAACTGGGACTGTAAATCCTCAGCAAAACTCATCACTTCCTTTACTTCTTTTGGCTGTTTATCACTACTTAACAGAGCTGGCCTGGAAAAAAGTGAAAAAGAACAATTGCCTTTAAATTAACAAATATCTAGTCCCTGAAACGTTCTACTTTCCTACTTGAATGGCATTAAAACGAACCCTGAACAAATGCAGAATGAACGGTGAGTGAACAATGTGTGAACGCTGAATGCAACTTGGTGAACTAGGTGTGAACGCAGAACATGGAGTGCAAGAGTGAGCGCAAAGTGAACTGTGAACAAATGGTGAACGCAAGATGAACAATTTATTTGAAATGCCTCTGATCTCTTCCTTGCATTGAAATTATTCTATTCTATTGTAATGCCAGTGCTAAAATATAAATAAACAATAAATAGATAAATAAATAATCAATTAAAATAAATTTTACAAAATTGTCCTAAGAAAGACCATACATGCACGTTAAGTAAATAAATTACAAATTTAAATTTCTTACAATATTTTCTGCACATACATATAATGTTTAAAATCTACATTTCAATAACATGATTTTCGTTGCTGTAAAAGATCAGTACATGTAAATTCAAAGGCAGAAGAAAATCCATTAAAAGAGACTTTATAAATACAGTTGGTTGTATGTTTCAGCAAACAATTTAATGAACTGAAAATTATGCTGATACATAAATAAGCACATTATGCAAACTTAAACTTAAAATGATTTACATATTTTTCTGATTTGCCTGTGGTGCAACGATATTGGTCAGTATTTTTCATTCAGTTTTTTTTTCACATAATTGCAAATGCATGTATTTTATCTGGGTTAATTAAATTTAGAGGATTGTATTAATTTATTAATCATATTTGTAGTTCAGCTGTAACAAAACAAATTATCTGCTAAAAGCTTCAACCACGAGAATAGGAAAGGATGTCAAGTCCAAAGAGAAGGTATATTGATAACTGATGATGATATGTTATTGATGTAAATAGAGTACAGCAATAAAATTAAGAGAGAACAATTATAGTAATCTGTAGACCAAAAAAAATTAAATCTTAATTCTTTTCAAGAATAGGCAGGTCATGATTAGTCACTCTGAGATAGTTCAGAGCAGATTTAGATTTGATCAGATCATATAGCAATAGGGTAGGTGGGTCCACAGTGGGGGATCAAAGTTTTATCCTGGAATATTTAAGACTGGAGCCTTTTATAAAATCTTCTCAAGATTATCAGGGCCACAATACATCATATTTTTTGAACGAATACATCTTAGTACAGAATCCAAGAATCAAGGGTAATGGATGTGCCATAATTCGAGACAGAATGTTTATCTTGAAAGTCCTATGTAAATATTGGAAAATTATTAAGGTCTTCCGCTCAGGCGGAAGACCTTCTACTGATTCTGATGGTTAAGATTATTCCCTATTATTCTTTTTTTTTTTTTTTCCTAGACGCCAACTTTGAGACCTCGTAACTCGCTCATTTCTGAACGGATTTCGCTCAAATTTTCAGAGTTTTTGGACGTTACAAAACTCAATTAAAATGTTTTCATACATTTCAAAAATTCCCTTCCGCTTTCGAGTTATTTCCCTTTAAGTGAAAATTTGGTACTGTTCGTTTCCAGACAAAGGCTCAGAAACGACAAAAGCTGGAGCAGAATGTCTACTGGATTTAAATACTAGAAGAATTGAAGTTGTGCACATCGGTTTTTCTTTTTCGATTTCTGATTTCCAAATGGTGCTAGATAGGGGTCAAAAATGAGAATGCCTAAAAGCGCCAAATTTTACATATATTTCCTTGTGTATCTTTTAAACTAAAAATAATTTGTTAAGACATATTTCACAAATATTGTGCATAATTTTAAGATCTATCATTTGACATCATTAAAAAGGGGCTGGCCCCTAAAATTAGGGGTCAAGGGAGCATGAAAGTTTTTGCATTACAACTCAAAAATGGTAAATATTTCGGTATGGTTATCGATTTGAAATGGGTCTTTAACATCTTATCGATCTCATGAAAATGTTATTTTGTTCGAATCTTGTGTTATTGAATGAGCAGCAAACTTTATGTACAGGTAACTGATCAATTTTATACGGCAAGTGAAGAATTCTTTATGCGTACGCGTATAACACGTATAACTGAAATAAACTGGATAAGAATAATATACTTAACTAAACTGAATGTTAGCCTTTGTTGAAATAAAGTTTTTAACATATTCTCTAGCTGGATGTCATACATATTATTCAGAGACAACTTTCTCCTTGTATTTAGTTTGAATTACAAGACGGGAGATAGGAAAAATACTTATCATCTCTCATTCGATTGATACTCAATGTTGCATTATTTATAAAAAAAAAAAATAATCAAGCTTAAAATAATTCACTGTCATTTTATTCATGCATCGTGAATTTTCCTCGGACCTTGACTGCTTTGTTTACAGTTGTGCAACCTGTTTACAAATCGATTGCGCATGCATTGACCTATATACATTCCGGAGGTCAACATTACCGCTCTTTGATTTTTACGCGAGTCCCAGAGTTATCTAAAACGATGCTAGTCATCGATTTACTCAGTTGAAAATCAAGAATTTGTTATTTGCGTAAATCGTAAGAATATTTCTAGACACAAATATAAAGGTTTTCTTGAACATGTACGAGTATTAAAAGATAAAATGTCTGATTCTATTCTTTGACGAATGAATAAAAGGCGCTGCGATTTTGCTCAGGTACAGATGATTTCTCTGGACGAGTCCATCGGTTACATTGAAAGGTGACGCAGGATGACCTATCGATAACTGCCAATTTTGATAGTGATTGTAATTGCACATGTACATAAATTAATGTTGAATTCTACCCTTGTGAAGTCCATTATAGTTTCGTTATTTAAAGAATCGGGGATATCACTACTGCAACTTAATTGTTTTTAATTTGAACGGATGATTCTATATTATTGGAAAGGTACACATTTTTTAGACGCTGTCGTCTCCCTCTCAACTTTGAAGTAATTGCAATCGTTATATGTATACGGGCCTATATCAAGTTATTCTAGACTAATTGTTGCTTAATTTATTTCAGAAAAAATTGCGATGTTGTTTAAATTAGCAATTACAAATAAACATGACAAATGCTCACAGTAAATTATAAGTGGAAGTGACGTTTTCAATTCTCATGAAAATCGAAAATAAAATTAAGTAACTTTGAGTTTTGCATAATTTGCTACTTAACTTATCATTGTATTTTTCCGAATGATATGCTCATAAATTTCTTTTATTTCCTCAAATAAAAAGCTAGAATATCACAGTGACACGATTTTATGTGCATGTACATGATATTAACTAAACTACATGCTGTTTTACACAGAAGAGCACCCAACATGAGATATAATTAGAAATTCTTCTAACAAATGCAAAATTTCTTCCTGTAATTTCATACAAATATTCCAAGCCTTTCTTTCGTGTTTATTGGACTAAAAGAGATTAAATTATTAAATTTCCTCTCATTGCGATACGTAACCCCCTGAAATGATACAATGCATTCCTTCAGAGTCGAGAATGGCAGGTCAGGGCTGGTGTTGAAATCCATGATTACTCCATAACCTATTATAATATTAACCAAAAATCATACGCGATATTGTTTTTAATTCGCAGGTTGTCAAATAAATTTAAGAAAAGGTCGGCAAAGATGAGTATGCCTCACTAAACTTTTTTATTCATAAACTTTTTAATTTCTAGAGTGTACAATCGAGCATCGAAGTGTGTACATGTACTACATGTACTAGTTTTTTTTTTTTTTTATGAGGGGGGGGGGGGGGTTACCAGTTTTCGCTGCATTTGATTTCCTGAATTTTGCACTGCATTTCCGACAATTAAAAAGTGATTTATAAAACGAAAGTCAAGCAATAAAACGTTAAAGTTTGTATTTTGAAAAATAAATCAAGTCAAGTCACATAAAACAAAGACAGGTTGAAACGCTCACACATGGACATACATACAAACGTTTTGGTAACTCGGAATAGTCCAGAGTAAAACTATATTTTCTTGATGACGGAATGTCCAGTACATCTAATGTTCACGTCCGGGATAGTTCATGGCAGTTTCATCACACATACGCAATTATCATACAAGTCGAACGCTCTTTGAGGTTGAGGATTGACACTAATTCCTTAGATAAATACTGAGTATCAAATTCCTTTTTACTGTCTTAACTTAACTTGATAGGTAAATAATTTTAGCATATATGTTAAAAATAAGCATTAGAAATAATTCTTTTCATAAAATTCAATTCTGTTACATTTCAAATGAATTTGTAAAATTAACTTTATGACAATTGTCATGCTGCAGATCTGTAGCTCGCTAGCTGTTCTAAAAAAAATTGAGATGGATCACCAGAGAGCTACAGTGCCATCCATATTATCTCAAGTTCAGGCTCAGAAGGACTATTAAAAACGGTTGTAAGGAATGTTTAACTGTAGAAAAATTTAAGGAATGTGTTAGAGACACACGGTAAATAATATTTTTAGATTCAAGCAGTTGAAAAACACGGATATTGAATATAGCTTCAGCGCAATTTTTTTCTAATATTTTCTAGTTTTTTATTCTTCGTATTTCTCAATTTATCATGTTCAAATAACGTGTATTTATTTTTATTAGGGCACATTAAACCTAAACTTGATAATAACTATTGAATGAGTTGAAATAGGACTTTTATATTTCACATGTGCATTATTTGTGACATGCGACTTTCAAATATACTGTGATTTTTAACCCCATGACCTTGATCTTGGAGCTTGACCTACTTAAAAAATAACATTACTTTAAATTGACCATAACTATTGAAAGCTTTCATTTTATAAACATGTACATGTAATACCTGTGTCAACGCCTTTGAAAATTCATTATGATTTTTGACCCTTTGACCTTGAAGTTTGACCCACTTTTCAAAAACATTAACCATAGTCATACCTTTTGAGAGAAAAGAGATCGATTAGGGCTTTTATTTTACCACTGTGTATTACCTGTAACAACATTTTTTTAAATACCGATACCCTGATTTTGACAACGTGACCTTGAGGCTTGACTTACTTTTCACAATTTTAATCTTGATCATAACTTCTGAATGAGAAGAGATAGGGTTTTCGTATTACACAAAAATCAAATGTATGTAACCTGTGATAAAATCATTTCAAATACTAGCATATAATGAACTTTGACCTTGAAGTTTAACCGGCTTTAAACATTGCTTAAAATTGACCATGACTTTTGATAAAGAAAGGATAACGCTTTCATACCTAGATTTACACATGTATACACGTATTAGCTGTGACAAGGCCTATCGAAAAAAGTATAGCTTAAGAATTCGTCAATACGGTAGCACACAAATGGCTTTGCTTATCACCAGCGTGTGTCATGGTGTGACGTAAGGTCATTTTAACAAGGTCAAGGTCGCAAACATTCCTTTACTATCTTTTTTAATAGTAAAACATAAATAAGATGACATCTACCCTTAAAAGATTGCTTTAACATTAGAATGTGGCATGACCTTGACCCAAGGTCATTTCTCCCTGTCCGCAGCTCCGACGGAAGACCTACTCATTGCTTTGCAACGAGCTCGGCTCTAGTTTTGTATATTTCTTAGCTTTTACGTTAAGTAGAGATTAAAATAACATAAGTTTTCATAATTTATATTCCTATTTTAAGGAGACTAGTTTATATCTTTCAATCTTTCAATTAATCTTTAAATATCAAACTAGCTGCAACTTAGAATAGCTGGTTATGAATTATCTGCAGAGCTCACAAACTATATAAGGTCAGAAAAGCTACAATTTTCAGAGAGAAATCAATACTTTGGAGTTATAGAAAAGGGGCATAACTCTTATCATGATAGTACATGTTAATGATGGATGAAAATGTGAAAAATGTAATAAAATTGTAGATTTAGACTTTATAAATGTAGACATATAGATTTAAATTACAGTAGGACTTCCATGCCATTTCAATAGTCCTCGCTCACTGACGTCAAACATAAAGGCAGCAGAACGAGATTTACATGCATATTTGGCCTCCTTAGTGTAAGACACAGAGAGATGCACACAAAATTTGCATGCATATTTTTCCTCCTTAGCTCCTGACCTATCGACCTGCCTAATTTACATTCTGTTAGAATCATCAAGAAATCAATTCCTCTAACTTTTAAAGAGTTATCACAGAGAAAAAAAAATTAGAAATTGAAATATTTAGCCCCATCCTAGCAATAGAACCCCTGACCCTGGGGCCATGAATTTCACAATTTTGGTAGAGGACTCAATGCTCATTTCATTCATGCCAACAGTTTGACTGGTTGATGTCCAGGAGTAAAGAAGAAGATTTTTAAAGGTTTTATTAATTTAAGTGGTTTTAGCCCCACCCCTAAGGCATCAGGGGGGTGGGGACCATAAGACTGCAGAGCATTAATTGGCAAGATTGAAAATACGCAGCTTACGTCAATTCTATCTGTTACAATCAAAACAGTCAATGATAGACAATGAAATGGGCGGGTACAATTCGACGCAGGGAAAACATTGGATTGAAATTCTAGTTTGAAAGTCATTTTCAATCTACCTCAGCTATGCTAGAAGGCACATTTTTACCGACTGACCCAGAAGACAAATAATTTCAATTTCGGTATAGTTTGATAAAAATATAATCAGAATTTTCTGTATAGCATTTTAAAGAAATATATGAAGGGACAATATTTGATTTCTGTTTGGTATGATTTATGTATGTGTGCATTGGGGGGGGGAGGCTTAATGATCTTGGAAATAAATAAGAAAGTTGTCAAACATTTTTCATTGAAGACAAAACTAAACAAGAGGCCTGTGGGCCACATCGCTCACCTGAGAAGCTTTGACCATTCTGTTCTTTACCAGATTTGACCCTTGTAATACATACTGTGACCCCACCCTACCCCACTGATCATAATTTAGACAATTTGAAATCTACACTACCCCTGGATGCTTCCACATATGTTTCAGCTTTTCTGGCCCAAAGGTTCTTGAGAAGAAGATTTTTTAATGACCCCACCCTATTTTTGTCTTTTCTTGATTATCTCCCCTTGTGAAGGGACTTGACCCTTCATTTTAACAGTTTTCTGGTTCTTGAGAAGAAGATTTTTAAAGGTTTTTCCTATATATTTCTATGTAAAACTTTGATTCCTTACTGTGGCCCCGCCCAACCCCTGGGGGTCATGATTTGAACAATTTAGAATCTACACTACTACTCGGCCATCCGCGTCAAATTGTACCTGCCCATTTCATTGTCAGTCATTGAATGATTTGATTGTAACAGATAGAAATGACGTAAGCTGCATATTTCCAATCTTGCCAGTTAATGTTCCGCAGTCTTAAAATTCACGATTTTTGTTCCCCTTCACCCATAGATGCTGTATACCACATTGGGTTGAAATTGGTTGAGCCATACTTGCCAACCTCCAGCATGTAAAAAATCTGGTCATGACCAGATTTGGAAAGTAAAAAATCTGGTCATAACGCGTAACGACATTCACGACATATTCACCATGATTAAATTTTATACATATATATACAAAGTATTTGTGTATTGAGTTTTCTTTCATTGAAAACTAGAAAACTGACCAGTCAGCAAGGGCCCCGCCATGGGGTAGAATTAAAAGGGTGCAGCTTACGGAATGATTCATAAGCAACAGCAACTGTATTCTTAAAATTTCAAGATAATTCCTGAACATTAAAAAACCTGAAAATAATATCCTTGTACTTACATTAGGCAGTAAAGAATGACTTAACATTGAATGTATATTTAAACAATTATGAAGCTTGTGTTATATAAAATCCAGCCTTCAATGAATGCAAATATCATGAAGGCTTGACCTTAACTTCAAACAAACAGCAGTTGCAGACAAAGGTTTTCATTAATCTTAAAGACAGATAAAGAAAAGCCTACTAAATTTTCTGCAGCAGGCTAGATAATTAATCCCAAGGGATTAATTGTACCTCTCTCATCATTTTCTTTTAAAGTTACAATAAGAACTTTTTCAGTATTAATGATAGAATGGGGTTTTTATACAACTATCTTAAAAATTAATAATATTCTTGAATTAACATAAGTAACAAAAGTAAATCAAAAAATCTTCTTTAATCTATTTCTTGTTTTTAGAATTCAATGAAATCATAACTATTAAACAAAATAAATTATGAAAATTTATATTCAAATCCACATTTCAGAGTGTTCATAGCATTCCAAATTGACTTAACTTCAAAACAAACTTCATTTGCAGACAGAGGTGGTAATTCATCTCAATGTGACAGATAAAGATAATGCTCTGGATTTTCTTCAGGAGGAAAGCTAATTAATCCCAAGGGACTCATATAGCAGCATTCAGTTTACAATGGGAACATCTTCAGCAGTTATCTCTCTTTGACAATGCATTCTTATATAAAGTTAAGGAATGTACCCCACCACCCCAGCTCCAAACCAGGGGACATAGAGAACCAAACTTAGCATCAAAATATGTATTTCTGCCTACTGAACTACCATACCAAATTTGAACTTGATTGGGCAACCATAAAAAAAGTTGCCCATTCATTCTTATGCATAGTTAAGGAATCTACCCCACCACCCCAGCTCCAAACCAGAAGACATAGAGAACCAAACTTAGCATCAAAATATGTATTTTTGCCTACTGAACTACCATACCAAATTTGAACTTGATTGGGCAACCATAAAAAAAGTTATTAGAAAAAAACAGAAAATTTGTGGACGGAAGAGTGACAGACGGACAGACAGACGGACAGACAGAGTGATTACTATAAGGCACCCGCAAATCCTTGCGGGCCCTAATTAGGTTTTAAAAAATTCATACATAATTTGATTAAATTTACATGTCAAAAAAGAGAATTGAAGGTTTCAGATCAGTATTGACTTGAAGTAAGTGTGCATTTTTTTTTTTTAAAAAAGCCTTTTCAGTTTCTGCTAAATTTGAAAGTTTACCAATTTCAGTTTTGAAGTTATTTTTCCTCTCTCTTAATTAATTAACTACTGCAATATGTATTAAATGTGAAGTTAGGCCTACACTGTCTTCGATCACTTTATTTTATCTAGAATGAAAGTTTTTTTTCCAAGATTCCTTGATATGTACATATCGGTAAATATTGTTTCTTTTTTTTCTTGGTTTAATCAGAGACATGTGTTTGGTTCAATTTTTTTCTGCTGGCCCTGATAATGATCTAGTTCTATCAGAAGCCATTTAAATTGATTTCAAACACTGATTTGTCAAAACAACACCCAGTTAATTGTTTACACCTGCACTGATAATTAATCCATCTGCATTGTTTACGTAGATCTGAGCTTGGGTTGTAACTGGAAGTTAAAAGTGCAACCTAATTTATGAACCAAATCCATAAATCGGGAGATTTTCGGGTTGTTCGACAAAAATCCGGTGAAAAGCATGACCCGCCGGGTCATAAAAAATAATCGGGTTACGGGTTGAAAAATCGGGTGTGACCCGACGAAATCTGGTGAGTTGGCAACTACAGGTTGAGCGGTTTCAGAGAAGACGTTGAAAATGTTCAAATGTTAACGCACGATGGACGACACACGACGACGGATGAAAATGGAAAGCAATAGGTCACCTGAGTGACTCAGGTGACCTAAAAAGGGGCAAGAAAGCAGTGTTATAAAGATTCATTCTTTCCTTTACCCAAGAATGCCTGGTAGTAGTTTAGGTTTGAAATACAGTGGACCCTCATTTATCCAGATGCTTTGGTTCCCAGTCAATTTGTCCGGATATGTGATGCATCCGGATATCTGAACCACCAGTTATACAAGGCAAAATAACACTTAAAAATTTCATTCCGATGAAAAATTGTCCGGATACTGAAGCATCCGGATATCTGGCGTACGGATATCTGAAGGTCTACTGTAGTCTAGTGGTTACAAGGATAGTCTGCAGAGAAATATTGATCAGAAAATCTCATTTGAGCTTTTGGCCCAGAATTCTACTAGCATTATCTTTCCAATTCAAAATTTACAGTAGTTTCATTTCTTACCTGTGTTTATGTATGACTTTTGCCATTCTCCCCGACCAATCACATTTTGTAGCATTGTACTCAGAATTGTATTCAGAGTGAGTTGTGTCCTCTAGATTCAGCACTGTCAGAGGAATGTGCACAAATTCTGGGACACTGAAATTTATTTCATAAAAACGTAAAGTTTAGAAGGTATGACATGCATTAAAAGCCACAGAATTTAAGCAGTCTATGTGGAAGTCACTGGACTGTCAGCTTTTAACAAGGGTCGGTAAAATATCTCTAGACTCAGGACTGTCTGATAAAAATAAGGCAATATACTAATATGAAACATTAATACCCCCAAATCTCACCTTTTTTTTTTCAATTTAAAATTTCCAAATGAACGGTAACATACATTAAGGTAATCAGAGATTACAGAGATCATCTTTAAGGTAAGGTAAAGTGAAACATTAAACTTATTATCTAGAAGTGTACATATCTTTTGATCTAATGGGATTTGCAGTTACTTAATGGGAATTAACTTATCTTAAATCTAGTCATTCATCATGAAAATTCATTCAAATTCAGCATATGAAGAAAGTTTAAGTGTTCCCTTGATGCTTCTTACATGCAAGTGTGGTTCAGATATACCATGTATATTCCAACATGCCAGGTGTGTCATGCTGTGCATAGGGTGTATGCTTTTGAAACAATAACAACAGGCCCACAGGCCTTATAAGTCAACTGAGTATCATGTATCAACTTTCAAACAATTGAATTTGGTTCGTGTTTTAAACCAGAGGTCATGAAATTCACAATTTTGAAAGAGGCACCATTGCTTATAATAATTAAACACTTAGCATGTTTACTCTGGTTACTTTTAATACCTAGAGGTAGATCAGAGTAATAGAGAAAATGCATTCCCACTTCATAACCAGTTGTGCACCCTGGGGTCACATTTTTCAAAATTATTGAAATTTCATCACAAATTTTATTTCATTAAAATTGGTTGATTAATACCAAAGAGCCCAGAGGCCCTGAAATTAACCATTTTGCTAGATGCACCAGTTTGTACTTATAAATATACATACAGCGCTTTGACAAAAATATTCGCGATTTTTCATAATGGCGGATGTAAACATGATGCGTTTCGTTAAAATAAACAATAAATTGTGAAACAAATAACAGATTTACCTAAATTACAGTCCCTGAAACGTTCTACTTTCCCGTTTTTCTGTTTGCTCACCATTCTTTCAGCATTCATTCACCGTTCGTTCAGTGTGCGTTCACCGTTCGCTCTCCGTTCACAGTTTTGCATTCACTGTTCACCGTGCGCTCGCGTTCACTGTTCACAAAACGTTCACCATTCCCTCTTCATTTCGTTTACTTTGCATTCACCATTCACTTATCGTTCAGTCTTCATTGTCATTCGGAACTCCGAAGGGAAAGGACTTAATCTTTTTGATGGTAAGGATTTACTTGTTTTTTAATTAAATAACTAAGATATTGTGTTTGAAGAATGATTATTTCATTGCAAAAAGTATCTACTATATTTAATTTTCTATTATTATAACTTACCTTTTACTTTATCCATGAAATTTCCCTGGAAAATAATACATTAAGTACCTACATATATGTAGAACGGTGCTAAAATATTAAATTTAAATAAGGGCAATGTACAAATGCTTCAAGCACGGCAACATTTTGTTGTAATGTAAAGGACGACAAATCGTTAATGGATGGATAATAATCCAAGTCTTTTACAAGACAAATATACACCAAAAAAAATTATTTCTAACACATATTTAAAACAAAAAATGCACGAAAACATATTAGAACTACATGTAGGTTTGAGAATTACAAACAGTACTGCAGATATTCAGTTAATTAAATATCTTTAGTGCTAATTAAATTGATAGTGTGATTTTAAATTTTAGAAAAGACCAACTGTTTAAAATGTAATACATTAGAATTTTTTCTGCTTTACAATAAATGTTAAGTCTATTATTACAGAGGGAAAATTCCTTCCTTCACCTTAAGAGCCCCCCCCCCCCCCCCCCCCCCCCCCCCCCGTTGCCGTTTCTTTCGAAATCAAATTTTTAGTTAGTATTTTCAGTATATTTTAATTGATATTTAATGTGTATTGTAACACAAGAAAATCAGTCTTGAAATGAACATTAAAACAGTCATTAAACAATAGTATTCCAAAATATACGTGCCGACCATAGTATTATTTTAAATTGGTAGGGAATTTTAACCCCCCAGGGGATCATGATTTGAATGAGCTAGAATCTACAATACCTGAGGATGATTCCATATAAATATCACTAATCATGGCTTTGAAGTACTTGAAAAGAAGATTTTAAAAGATTTCCCTATATATTCTTATGTAAAACTTTGGTTGGCCATTTTGACCCCACCCTACCCCGGGGGTCATGATTTGAAAAAAGTTGAATCTACACTACCTGAGGATGATTCCACTTGAGTTTCATCTTTCCTGGCCCAGTGGTTCTTGAGAAGAAGATCTTTAAAGATTTTTCTACATACTCCTATGTAAAACTTTGATTGGCCATTTTTGCCCCACCCTACCCCCGGGGGTCATGATTTGAACAAACTTGAATCTACACTACCTGAGGATGATTCCACACGAGTTTCATCTTTGCTGGCCCGGTAGTCTTGAGTAGAAGATTTTTGTTTAAAGATTTTTCCTATGTATTCCTATGTAAAACTTTGATCGGCCATTTTGACCCCACCCTACAACCGGGGGTCATGATTTGTAAAAAATTGAATCTATACTACCTGAGGATGATTTCACATGAGTTTCATCTTTCCTGGCCCAGTGGTTCTTGAGAAGAAGATTTTTAAAGATTTTTCCTATATACTCCTATGTAAAACTTTGATTGGCCATTTTGAACCCACCCTACCCCCGGGGGTCATGATTTGAACATTCTTGAATCTACACTACCTACGGATGATTCCACATGAGTTTCATCTTTCCTGGCCCAGTGGTTCTTGAGAAGAAGATTTTTAAAGATTTTTCCTATATATTCCTCTGTAAAACTTTGATCGGCCATTTTGGCCCCACCCTACCCCCAGGGGTCATGATTTGTTCAAATTTGAATCTATACTACCTTAGGATGATTCTACATGAGTTTTATCTTTCCTGGCCCAGTGGTTCTTGAGAAAAAGATTTTTAAAAAATGCCTTTAATTTTTCTCTAATTCATAATTATCTCCCCTTGGAAAAGGGTGTGACCCTTCATTTGAACAAATTTGAATCCCCTTTACCCAAGGATACTTTGTAGCAAGTTTGGTTGAAATTGGCCCAGTTGTTCTTGAGAAGAAGATGAAAATGTGAAAAGTTTACAACAACAACAACGACTACAACAACGACAGAAAAGGGACAAATTTTGATCAGAAAAGTTCACTTGAGCCTTCGGCACAGGTGAGCTAATAATTTGATTGCCTCTTTCTATCATCTTGTTCGAGTATAATCACGACCAGGAAATGTCTACATATACATGCAGATGTGAGCTAAAATAATCATCATAAAAGAATAACAAGAGGACCATGGGCCACATCGCTCACCTGAGCACTGCGGCTAGGAAAAGGTGGAAATTTAATTGGTTTATTATTGAAAAGTTTAAATCCAAAAGTAGTCCCAATCATGGCTTTGCTATTCTTGAGAAAATTTTTTTTAAAGAATTTTCCTATACATGTATATGTAAAACTTTGATTGGCCATTATGAGCCCGCCCTACCCCCGGGGGTCATGATTTCAACAAACTTGAATCTACACTACCTGAGGATGCTTCCACATAAATATGATCAATTATGGCTTTGCTTTTCTTGAGAAGAAGATTTTTTTTAAAGAATTTTCCTAGATATTTTTATGTAAAACTTTGGTCATCCATTGTAGCCCCGCCCTACCCCCCGGGTGTCATGATTTGTACAAACATGAATCTAGACAACCTGAGGATGGTTCCATATAAAAATGATCAATTATGGCTTTGCAATTCTTGAGAAGAAGATTTTTAAAAAAATCCTATATATTTCTATGTAAAACTTTGGTCGGCCATTTTAGCCCCGCCCTACTCCCGGGGGGTCATGATTTGAACAAACTTGAATCTACACTACCTGAGGATGCTTCCATATAAATATGATCAATTATGGCTTTACTATTCTTGAGAAGAAGATTTTTTAAGAATTTTCCTAGATATTTCTATGTAAAACTTTGGTCGGCCATTGTGACCCCGCCCTTACCCCGGGGGTCATAATTTGAACAAACTTGAATCTACACTACCTGAGGATGGTTCCATATAAAAATGATCAATTATGGCTTTGCAATTCTTGAGAAGAAGATTTTTTAAAAAATCCTATATATTTCTATGTAAAACTTTGGTAGGCCAGTGTAGCCCCGCCCTACACCCGGAGGTCATGATTTGAACAAAATTGAATCTACACTATCTGAGGATGCTTCCATATAAATATGATCAATTATAGCTTTACTATTCTTGAGAAGAAAATTTTTAAAGAATTTTCCTAGATATTTCTTTGGTCGGCCATTGTGGCCCCGCCCTATCCCTCGGGGTCATGATTTGAACAAATTTGAATCTACACTACCTGAGGATGTTTCCCCATAAGTTTCATCTTTCCTGGCACAGTGGTTCTTGAGAAGAGGATTTTTAAAACATGCCACCAAATTTTAATTAATTCCCAATTATCTCCCCTTGAATGAGGGCGTGGCCCTTCATGTGAATAAACTTGAATCCCCTTTACCCAAAGATGCTTTGTGGCAAGTTTGGTTGAAATTGGCCCAGCGGTTCTTGAAAAGAAGTCGAAAATGTGAAAAGTTTACAGACAGACAGACGGACTACAGACAAAATGTGATCAGAAAAGCTCACTTGAGCCTTCGGCTCAGGTGAGCTAAAAATGACACATCAATATATCATATTTTGCATTAGAATTTTAAAATACGCATGTATTCATGCAATACATCAACAGACATTTGTAAATTTAAACAAGAGGCCCATGGGCCACATCGCTCACCCGAGCATTGTGGCTAGGAAAAAGTAGTTTGGTTTATTATTAAAATGTTTGAATCTAAAAGTTTGGCCCCGCCCTACCCCCGGGGGTCATGATTTGAACAAATTTAAATCTAAACTACCTGAGGATG